ATTTCATATGTAAAGAAAGAGAAAAAAAAAATTGAGACAAGATGTGAGTACCCTTTAACACCGTATAAAATAATCATGCTTAAGTATGGAAGTTTAAGGAGCATATCGGGAAAGGTTCCACAGCAGACACAATAATGGGCATTAAATATGACTGTCCCTGTTGCAGTTCTACAAAACAGCTTCCATAGAACTAATCTGACATTTAAAAATACATTTATTTTCATAAGTTGAAACATGAGCGCTGTAGCTATGAACACTGTGGAGCTTAACGCTACACACATGCAAACATACATGCATGTGTTTAAAAGCGTTGTTTATTGGAGAAGTGCACTTTGCTGACCCATACAGCGAAAGAGATTAAAGAAATTAGCTGGCGGGCATTTGTGGCCACCGGTTATTTTTTTTTTTGGGTCATTCAAACGAGTACACAAGAATATTAAAAAAAAAAAAATTATCTCCGATTTACTAATGACGGATACGATTTCACCGCAGCAATAAAACCTGTAGCTACCGATACACTTTAACCTCTGTACTATGCCCTGACAACTTATTATTAAAGGTTTAGTACATAAGATATACTTCTTGGAGCATCTTAAATGTTTTGAAGCTAATCAGATCATTTTACATAGGCTCGAGTTTTCAAAGCACACGCTAGATTCAAAAAGCACTCAACTGGCGTCGAACATCGACAGAGTCAAAATTGCCGCTGGACACTTTTTTTTGCTGAACACATTGCATCGAGTAAACATGGCAAACATTTTTATATCTTCAAAAAAAATAACGTAAAATCGTTTGTGCCATATGTAGAATATTTTGTTTTATTGGGTGAATTGCAAACACCTAGACTTTGCGCTGAGGTCAGGACAGGTTCGCGTAGACTGTCCCAGAATCCCTCACTTTCCACGGCCTATGATAATTAATTATTTCCTAACGATCGGAGAGGAAACACCATTCACTTTACACGTTTGCACATACACGGGTCTATGTAATTGCGCTGCTGTTTTGACATCTCCTGTACAACCTTTTATCTGTGTTTAATAAACGGAAGTATAAAAAAACATCTTCCGTAATTGTTCAGACAAAACCCAACAATATTTCTGCTGCAGGGAATCATAGTGAAGGATTTTGTACTCCTGTACTGCTTGGGGAAAACATCTTTTTTTTTTCTGTACGTAACGCTTCATTATCCCATGTACTGAATTCTCATTGTGTAGATCCATTTTCTGGAGTTTTACAATGAGTGAGTCAGGAAAACGAATGTACAGGTCTATCAATTATTCAAGTGCAGATAATCAGAAGCATACTGGACTTTAATGTCTCTCTAGAGTGTCTGTGCAAAAGGGCTGCTTACCTCCCCCCAACCAAAAAAAAAAAAAATCAATATATCATGATATAATCCATGATCTCCATCAATACCATAAAAAAAATGCAAATTACCATGCTTGTTGCCCTGGAATTTGTTGGCCACACCAATGGCAGCAAAGTGTTAAGAAACACACTTTAATTTAAAGCTTGTCCCTTTGGGAAGATCCTGCAAAGTTTGCTACCTTAACCCTTGCACTGCCAGGGAAATCCTACATGTAATACTTTTTTTTTTGTCTTAATGTATTTTAGACTGAAAGCAAACCGATAATCATCATGTTACGCCATGGGCGGCTCAAGAATCAAGGCTTTACTTTTCTACAGCTATGTTGATTAGCTGATTAATTGTTGATTAGGAATGCGGCAAGATCAATCATTTTCCTCAGCTCGGCATGAATACTTGCCGCTAATTGAATCTGACAGTCCAGATTTTTCCTTCCACTAAATTTAAAACACAAACACATGCAGGTCTCTCGCAAGGTCTGTGGTCAAAATCAGTTCAGCAGTCACAGCAAATCCAAGACTGGAAAAAGAGAAACATTCCCAGCTTCCAACTAGAAGGGAGCAAAGGAGAGTTGGAAAGAGAGGTTTAACTAAATAAGTGGAAGATCACATTACACACAAAAGCAAGCAAAAATAAATAAATAAATAAAAGCAGTAACAATAATACTATTTTCAGAATATATAAGTATATTTTTGCTGTTGCAAGCGATTCCACACAAGTTATGGTTCTACCAAAAGCCATATACTACTTTTTGTAAGACTTTCCTCATCCACTCTGTTTTACACTTACATATCTCCAGCTTATCCACAAAGTCAAGCCTTTAAAATTATTGTGACACTTTAATGTGTGTGGGATTCCTTATGACATCATATATCAAATTATAATAAACTTCCTTCGACATAGATCACAGAGCAAACTACTGGCGGCAAATCAGATATTAAAACATAATAAGTAGTAAGTAAGATATCATCATCTATTTGGACATAGACACATTATTGCAAAACTGATACTTTTGTCACTAGAAGTGCTCTTTGCTGTCATTTCAAAAGCGATACAAATGGCATGCTTGCAGTCGGCAAACACTGACTGGTTATAGTTTGCATGTTAAGGGGTCAATTTTTCTAGGCCAAAAGTACAAACCTGGTACAAATAATGACATTCTATATCACTGTAATTTTCTATACTCTGCAGCCTACTTGCTAAAATGTAATTGACATGAGTAAATGTAAACATTTATATATAATAAAACTTTCACATTTACTTAAGCATACCCAGCCAGCCGTACCCTTATAAAGCAGCATACCCAGAGTCTCATGATAAGCTTCCAGGGTCATTAATACAACACAAACAGTGCAAAATGTGGTTTTAATTTGTGTCACTGCTTCCCCTTTGACAAATGGCTTTTAAATCACCTAATTCACAGCCAGCACTGATATCTCAATGTAAAACGCAAACTCATAAAATATGTTTATGCTACTTAAGACACTTCTGTATGTTTTATTTCATAACAACAAAATATAGGAGCACATGCTTGTTAAATGCGCAGGTCTCATGGGGCGATCATAACATATATTAATCTTTGCAAGACAGTTCACTAGAAAAAAAAAAGTTCTTAAACTAAATACAGACATAAAAAGATAAAATTAAATAAATGAAAATACTGTACACATTACACATCACAAATGTATAATATTATAGACCAATAAAAAAAAATAACCGTGCTGGATATATTTTTTTTTTCAAATATGCAAATTTTTAAAAAATGTGTTTATTATTAAAAAACCCCACAGTTTTGTTGTTTTATTATGTGGTCACTTTTTGTGTCTTTCAGTGTCTTTGTTTTGTTTGGTTTGTTTTAAGCTGCTCAGAGTGACTCCTTATGTTGTTTTCCCAACTTGTTTTATAAATTTGGGATTAAAAAACATCAAAGCAGTGTCCACATAGAAGCCAAGTTTTAGAGGATCAGTTTGACAAGTCGCAGCATGATAGATGTTGTTCTTGATAAACGACTTGTTCAAAAGACACACTGTAGTTTTCATTTCCTGACCAAAACACACTTTTAATTTGCAACAGCAGAGCAGGCAGGAGTGTGAGGCAGTCCCCAATCCCCAACTATTCAGTGCTAAACAAAATACCAGAACTGCACAGCAATGAGCTGTCTTTATTTACCCCTGGGAAACTTTTAGAGTATTTTTTTTCCCCACTAATCCTGCACATATTGCAGATAGTGTTGTGTGATGCTGCTGGGTATTAGTTTAGTTATGGCTCCAAAATGCAACCAAGTGTGCATTTTTTAAAACAAAAAAAAAAGCACACTGCCTGGAAAGTGTGGATTTATGCCCACACAATCCCATTCACCACCTATAAATAAAATACATTTATTTCCCATGCAAAATAATAGAAAGCCTTCAAACCTCAATCCTCTCAATTCAACCCCCCTCATACAGTTCTCTATTGCTGATTTCAAATTTCTAAATGTAATATCCTCCTCATCACCAACAGAAGCCCAATCTGCTCAGAATATATATTACAGCTTTAAGATCACAGAGGGAAATTTCCCATCTGGCAATCAAATTCGCTTCAACAGCTCCGGGAAAAAGGTTTTGCTCTCCACAAAACATTTCCCAGTACAGATTATGTGCATGCAAAATAAACAGACTACTTATTGATCTCTTAAAGTCAACAAGTACCACAAAATGCAAAAAGGCAATCAAATCGGTTTCATTAAATGTCTGCTCCTTTTGTAAGTTAAGCTTGAAAAAATAAGTCAGGGTTTTCCAGAAGAGTAGAACTGTTATTTAATGTTAAAAACAAAACAGAAAAGCTAAAACATTTTCAGACAGTTGGACAATCTCTTTAGAGATCTAGGAAATTTAGGTCTAACCTAAGAAGGCTTTCTAACCATCACAATCCTATGTTTACTCTGAAAGCTATACAACACTAAAACTAAAACAACAAAAAAACCCTCTTTAAATCACTTATACTCCATCTCAACTGACCTTTAGTATAGAAAGAATGGGATAGGACATGAGAGAGAAAGAAAAAAAGGTTAAAAAATGTCAGGAGCTATTTTCCTCAAACAACAATTAAAAAGTACAAAAAAATTACATCAAAAAGAAACATTTACAAAATAACCTTTACCAACCAGATCATTAGGCAATCGATCACCAGCTATTTCTGAGTTGTAAACAGGATTTTGCCAATTACACTGAAACTGTTATAATGGAATTAAAAGTAAAGGGAAAAAAAAAAGTAATAACTAAATACACTGTCCAGATTGTTTTAACATGCTGTAGATTGTTTTTAATAACTCTTGCTGGTCCAGCTGGAGTTTAAACAAATAGGTGACCAAGTAGAAACTTGTAACAACAGTATGAAAAAAATAAAACAAACAAAGCAAAAAAAAAAAGCAAATGAATAAAAAAAAAATAGAAACAAACGTTAATAAAAGAAAACCAAAACAGATTTTTTTTAAAAAAAGGGTTATAAAAAGAAATAGGATTGTGTTCACAAGCCAGGAGTATTTGAATTGGATAATGTACAAAGCTCCCCACTTTCACTTTCTTCTCCTCATGCTATTAAGCTGTCATTATTATATTACACACATGTGAAGTAAATTCCAAAACTGACATACCATATACACTGGTGCTGCTGATCATGTCTTTGCTGCTAACACGAGCTGTGGAATGGGATATTTCACAAGCAGGAATTCCAAAGGTTGATTTTCATTAAAGCCACTTTTCCTCTTGGCTATCAGATGTCACTGTCTTGAAACGTGGGCCCTTTCGTCAGGTATTCATTTAACCTACATGCATATAATTAAGGAAGGAGGAGGGGGGACAGCATCAACACAGGCAGCCAGGATCACAAAATGGACTAGTTACAAAATAACACAAAAAATACATCACAGAGGATGTGCTTCCTACTGAAAACATGAATGCCACTAATAACATGGTACCCCCACCTCTCAAATTTGCCCCACCAGGATAAGACACACACACACACCCTTTCTCAAAATGCTGATGGGCATAAGATCCCATGATGCTTATAGATCCCACCAATAAACTTTCTTTAGCAGTGATCCACTATGCCCTAGGAACTTATGTAAAAGTCATGCTCTTTTTTGGGGGGGAGGGGGGTGCAGTTTATTCTTAAATAAAACCTTGCAATTAAACAGCCATTGCAACCCAACAAGCCCCCTACCAGAACTGAGCTGGACTATTGCTAACTCATGCTGCAAGCTGAAGCCAAGCAGACACAGCCAGCCAAGCTGTCCATGTGTGGAAGCTGCACACACTGATGCTTGCCTCGTATACATTGCACTATTCCTGTAAATATTTACAAACTCAATATGTACAGTGCAAATGAATGATCAGTGCCCCCCTCCCCCCCCCCTAAGATCCATGCAAGAATTCGCAGCAGAAGGAGAGATCGCAAAGCAGCACTTACCTGCATGAACGACACACTGGCAGGCGATAGGTTACAGAAGCATCGATCTGCTGTGCGAGCTGATGAATGGGGGGGGATCGCTGGAAGTGAGAGAGGCACACTTCATGATTTAGAAACAGCTACTTCTGCACATGCTGCAATCCTACAGAGGACACTCACTCTGCAATCTAATATGGGGTTTTTTTTGCAGCCACCATGCATGCAAAATTTAAAGGGAAGGAGGAAAAAAAAATAAAAAAAAGGCTTGAAGTTTTTATATTTGTGTTTCTGGCATGAAACCCCCTCACCAGGGTCGCAATGTTGTTTTCCTTGTAGGTGGGGGTTGGACTGGTTGGAAGCATCAGGCTGCTTCTGATGGATGTGCACTGGTCACTCCCCTAGTCCCTGCCCCTCTCTCTCTCTCTCTTTCTCTCTCCCTCTCTCTCTCTATTTCCAGCCTGGGGTATGCATGCTCTGCTAGCAGCACTGCCCTCCTCTGTGTTCAGCTCACTGACAGAATGCCCAGCAAGCTAGGCACCATCTATTTCTCGCAGTCAGTTGCATTGTGCAAGGACAGGGGGGCTATCCAGATTTTTCCTTGTGATCACCATTGACTGGCAGAGAAAGAAGAGATGAGAGCAGCACAGGAGGCAGACAAGCAAGCCCGCAACATGCAGCAGGGGGTGTTTACAGAATGGCTGATTGATGGCTTCACTCTAACACAGTGGGATCTTCTTTTTCCCCTCTACTAGATCCATGAACAGGCTTTGCAGGGTACTTGCCAGTGATTTACTGCAGTACATGTGTGAGGCTGGAGCAGGTTTGCTGCTCTTTTGTCTGTGGGGAGAGAGAGGGGAAGGGATGAGCTGTTAATGCTTGTTGCAGATATTGCTTAGACCTTTCAGAACGCTGTTTATGTAGCACAGGGCTGGAAAAACTGGAGTCGCTTGCAAGAGTGGTCTCTGCGACGGCGGAGTGGCCAGCAGAACACAAGGCTGTCCCAGAAGTTCTCAGGCCACTCTGTTTTTTTGCTGGTGATAAGGCTAGTGAAAATTGCATAGTCAGCGGTGGGCAACAACAGTTTGGGACAGAATTTGGCGATTTTTTTTTGGGTGGCGGAGATTTTTCAGGATGTGATCTGTTTGGGAAAAATAGTGGAAGGGGTGTAAGTTGTTCAAGGTTGTTTTGGAGGTGCAAGTGTAGCAAAAATGTGCCTTTTGTTTGAGTAAAAATGATTATGTCCCTAGAATAAATGTAAAAAAAGAAAAGTGACTTCCCAGACTGCTTTCGGCTGCAGTAACCATCATGCCATGGTTACTTGCGACCTATGTAATGTAAAGCAAAACAAACGACAAACGCACTCAACAATTTGTTACCAGTTGTACAGTAAGGTGCACACGAAATGGGCTTTGAACAGTAGAACAGTAGAAAGGCATCATGGCACACTCACAAACTAGCATGTAAAACAACTTGTCTCACCACTAAGGACAATGACAGAGGTTTGGATACACGTCTTCTGCAAAGGATGTGTAAGCCGCACTGCCGCGCCAAGGCACCTCTTATAGTGCGGTCCTAACTCTAAACTATGAGAGTCTCCATCTTGGAGCACATGGGGCAGAAGATATCAAATTGGGTGCAGGCTTGTCAGGAGGACGCCCCACCTCCTTAAAGGTACAGAAACACACAAGGGATCCCGCACATCCCATTGGCAGCTGAGAAACCCCATGCGTCGCTGCACCAAATCGGTAAAGCAAAACAAACGACAAACGCACTCAACAATTTGTTACCAGTTGTACAGTAAGGTGCACACGAAATGGGCTTTGAACAGTAGAACAGTAGAAAGGCATCATGGCACACTCACAAACTAGCATGTAAAACAACTTGTCTCACCACTAAGGACAATGACAGAGGTTTGGATACACGTCTTCTGCAAAGGAAGTATGTAATGTAAATTACCTTATGTTTTATGTTCTTTACACATTACAAATCGAATTACTAAACCATAAGGGCTCTCCCGATTCTTCCCCTTTCCTTTAATGTGGATCTTTTTCCCCTTGACGGTCATCTGTGCCCCACCAGGAACACCACATACCACATGTAAAAAAGGTAAGTACCTGCAGAGAAGGAGGCGGTACATCAAGCAAATTACTTTATCCAGAATGTGCAAAGTACAGGTCCATATTAGGAGGAGATTAGCTGTACATGCATGGTCTGACTGCTGAAAGAGTGTTCTAAAAAACATTCATAGTAGGGGTACTTTTTGTCCCTATGGAGAGGTTAGGGGGGGATCACTGCAGGCACCAGAATATCCATGCCAGCTAATCAAATCTTCCACTAAAAAAATACATTGCTAGGGAGCATGAGGGAAGAGCTAGAGACATATGAATGTTCCCCAATCTGACAGTAAACGACAAGCGTAGGTGACATTACCTGGTAATGATAGGGATGAAAAATCTCCCTGGGTTCAGTTTGCAAAAGGTTTCACAAATCTTGTTTGAACCCCATTGAAGTCTATTGGGGAGGCTATGCATTAGATCATAGGTTGCTCTCTCTTTCTAGCGGGGAACTTGCAAGCATTTCGCCTGACAGGCAAACCCATGGTAGTGGCAAACCCAAATATTATCCCTACTGGTGATCCTGCCATGAAGGTTCTGGTTCAGTCATTTTGCGTTATATACCCTGTTGTCACTGTTTCCCTATTGTGCTTCTGTATTGTCACCTCGTCACATGGCCGTTTGATAGAGACTACAAGTGGTTGTTTCAACACACATTACATAGTATTGGTCCACTTTTGTCTCCAGGTGTGTCCCTAGACTTTTTGCCACCAAAAGCGGTATAGCAGGGGTGCCGGTGTACCGGTTGTGCACGCAATCAGAGCAGCGGGAGGAGGGTAGAGGAGACAGCACTGCCAGACATGAGAGGGATGCCACCCTCTGCAGACTCTGCATTTCTCTGCCCAGCTCTTAGCAACCTGGGATGCTCTGGCCAGCGTCCCATCCAGCTTCAGGCAACCAGTGAGTGGTTACCAGGAGCCGGGCGGGACACCGGCCAAAGCATACCAGGTTGCTAAGAGATGGGAGATGTCTATGGCCCTTACACATCTCTCTCCCTGCCCGGCTCTTAGCAATCTGGGACACTCTGGCTGGACAGGAGGCAGACACACTGCAAACATTGTGCAGCAGAGCAGACATGCCACTGTGCCTGCCCCCTCCCCAATAAAAGACACAAAGAGATGCTGTCTGAGGCAACAGCCTCAGGCTGCCTCATTAAAGGGACAGCCTTGGTTGTCATCATCGGTAAACCCAACCTGATGTATGCCATGCAGCCATCACTGAAGTGCATGTGGGCAGGAAGTGGCTGCAAAGAGGCTGCAGGCATTCAGCAACACTAAAAGGCAACAGAGGATGAAAAGAAGCTGAAAACAGTATTTTATTTTTTAATGGCAGTTATTTATAATACACACTGCTTTATCAAACAAAATGTCATTCCGTTAGGGTAACTTGTATGCTGCAGATGTGGCAAAAGTGAGGTGAAAGGTTCTTTTCCTTGTTGCCTATAAAACATTTTGCTGATCAATCAGCACAGAAATTTCACACATTATTTTTTGTGTGACAATGAGTGCTTCCGACACTCGTAAGTGCTCGATTTTTAGTTACCTTCTACATGGCTCAATTGTCTCAAGTGATACTCAGAAGTAACATTTTCTATTGTCTGCCTGTTATGAGATCATGAATGTCCACACTTTTTAACACTAGCATGCTACGTGCGGACTAGAAAATAAAGATTGCGTAAATGATTGTGTCTTTAGCCTTTTTTTTTTTAGCTGTTGAGCCACTACGAGTCCCAGCAAGCACTCTCTGCTGGTGCCTGCCAGGTACATCTCATTCCCTATTTAGCTTGAAGGCAAACTGCTGCTTGGCACTGTGATCCTTATATTATCTCATCTGTGAGCACTTTAATCCATGGTAAACCTGCAGTGCATAATCGCCAATGTTTTAAAATATTTTCCGTAGCCACTTTACTGCAGAGCTGATGTATTGTAAACTATAAGAGCAATAATTGCTCTTTCTAAGTACATTATTCCTCTCAATGTTCTTTTCTGTTTTGTTCTTTTTAAATCTCACATTGTTAATACAGCTGTAATAATTAAAACCATAACATCCTTATACAGTATTTGGGGTGACATGCCAAACAGATACTGATTTTAAATAAAATTGGTCTTTACAAAGGAACCATATGGGTCGCCAGCAGTCCCGTAAAGGTGATACCCATGAACATAGAGGTGCTATCTAGTAATTTATGGGTATAATATAGCTTTCAGCATAAGGAGATTGGGCAGCTCTATGGTTTAGTGGGTAGCATCTATGCCTTCCAGCACAGAGAATGATTCTTGACCAGTACACTAGCTGCATCAGTGGCGGAACTATCGCCATAGCGACCAAGGCGCCCGCTAGGACGAGGAACATAGGGATCCCCCTGATGCCGTGTGGGCCGCCTGGGTTGCTATGGCTTCACAGGCTGCTGGCTGTCACTGGTGGCTGTGAGGAGGAACACATTGCTCTCCACATTACTGACAACCTGTGCAGTGGCGCATTCTTCCTCACAGTCACTGCTGAGTCGGTGACTGCCAGCAACTGCAGTGGAGGAGGAGGCCAGGGCCCGACGGCGGCAGCAGAGGAGGTGGGGCCCGGTGGCGGTAGAGGACGAGAAAGAGGCCATGCCTGGCGAGAGTGGAGGAGGCAGGGCCCGCTGGCAACCGAGGAGGAGGCAGGGCCCGCCGGCGACCAGGGAGGGCCTGCCAGTGACCCAGGAGGAGGCGGGGCCCGGCGGTGGAGAAGGCTGACAGGGGATTGGGGCTGACAGGTAAGAGGTGTGTAGGGATGTGGCCATCCCACCTGAGACCCTGCAGAGCCCTCCATAGAGAATCTATGGAGGGCTCTGTAGGGTCTCTCTCAGGTGGGCTGTGTGGGATCTCAAGTGGGCTCGGCAAGGGGTGTAACTACAAATCACAGGGCCCCATACAACATTTTGCTATGGGGCCCTGTGATTTCTAGTTATGCCCCTGAGCTTTATGGAGTTGTAATGTTCTCCCTGGGC